CCGGGAGCGGCCGCTGCACTCCAGTCTGGGCGGCAGAGTGAGACTCCAACTCAAACAAAAAGGAAAGCAAGCGACAGCCACAGTCTGCAGCGGCATTGCCTCTGACCTCAGTTCGCCTGAGGTGGGGACATGACCGCTCCCCTCCCGAGACACGGATGGCCTTACAGGCCTGCCAGGCGGCTTGGAGCCCGGTTCCTCTCCAAGGACACGATCCAGAAGTCCCCGGGCCAAGGAAGAGTCCATCACGGGGCCGAGGCGGGCTGCAGGCCCTGGTTGTGGGTGCACATGCTGGGCTCCCAGGTGCGAGGGCTGAGCATCCCACTGAGCAGTGCATCCTCCCCGAGCGTGCAGCAGGCCTGCTCCTTCTGGCGAGGGATCGCCCAGCAGGGCCGTCTTGGAGGAACCGGGCGCGATTCGGCCTGATGACAGCACCCCGTCCTGAGCAGGAGCCCGGCCTGGATCTTCAGACACCCGGAAGGTGCGGCTCTGTGGAGAGCTGGGGTGCAGGAGAGCTGCGGACCGGGCGCTCGGGCAGCAGCCGCACGGGGCTACTCCCACGAGGAAGCCCGAGCGAGGCCCAGGCAGACCAGGAAGCTGCAGCAGCCTGCGCGTGCTGTGACCTGGCGGGGACAGCAGGGTCGGTCGCGTTTCCTCGCTCAAGGGCTTGAGGAAGTCAGGTGCTTGCTGATTTCCTGTAGTGTAGATGTTTCACTTACTGGATTTTTTTGGTAGAGATGCGGTCTTGCTGTGTTGCCTAGGGTTGTCTCATATTCCTGGGCTCAAGCGATCCTCCCACCCCGGCCACCCAGAGTGCTGGGATGACAGGCGTGAGCCACCACACTGGGCCTGCATTTCAGATGCTGATGTTTGCAACTCCCAAGCCTGTGACTACCCTGCCCTCTCTGTCTTTACTCGTGTCAAATTCCTTAGCTGTCCATTCCAAAAAGGTAATGAAAACGGTTAATTCTGTCCCTGCAGCCTTGGCCAAATCTGGGCACTAGGACTCTTCTGTGCACCAAAGTGAAGCCCAAAGCTGCTGTGTCCAGGGGCTGCTTCCTCAACGAGCGCCCCCTTCCGAGAGCCGGCGGCTGCTGCTCCGCGGGGCTTTCATAGAGTGGAGTAGGCCACGTCATTACGAGATGGCAGGGAGGACTGAGGGTGGGGTTGCAGCTTAAACGTGCTGCCTCTGTAACCATCGTAGCCTGGCACCCTGCGGAACTCCTCACCCAGAAGCTCCCAGAGCAGCATCGTGAAACGGCCGCCACGCTCTGGCCCGTTCCAGAGGCTGCTCACTGTTCCCGTGCAAGGAAGGTCACATCCCGATGACAAACGCTCAGACCAACGGACACACACCTGCCTCCTGACCTGCTGCTGCTCCGTGGCGTCCCCAGGCAGTCGTTCTGCCAACACCCCCAGAGCAGACGGCTGGGAGGGAACGCGTGGCCGGGAGGCCGCTACTCACCGGCATGGAGAAAGTAGTTGCCCCACTGCCTGCACTGGTGGAAGGCCTCGCACTGCGCGATCTCGTTCTCGTGGTGCGGGAAAGCCAGGTCGATGCCGCCCGAGTGGATGTCCAGGTGGCTCCCAAACACGGAGCTGCAAGATAGCACGGGCCGGCGGTCAGTCTGCCGCCTCAGCCCCCACCCTCCCGGCTCTCCAGGCCGCGCCACCGACTCCTCCACCCTCTGTGTGCAGTGGTCACACAGATCCCAGGTTCAAGTCCATTTGCATGGCAATCAATGGACTCAAATGGAATCGGAAATCTTTTTTTTTTTTTGAATTGGAGTCTCACTCCGTCGCCCAGACTGGAGTGCAGTGGCTGCTCCCAGCCACCGCAGCCTCAGCCTTCCAAGTAGCTGGAACTACAGGCGCACGCCACCACATTCAGCTAATTTTTTGATTTATTGTAGAGATGAGGTCTCGGCAAGTTGCCCAGGCGGATCTCAAACCCGCGGGCTCAGGCAATCCACTCACCTCGGCCTCCCAAGGCGCGGGATTATAGGCTGAGCCACTGAGCCCTGCTGGAAACTGAAATCTTAATTTTGTTTCATCACCAAACCCCCAGTTCATGGCTTTTTGTCCTAATAAAGACGACTTAATTCTCTTTACTCAAGATATATATTTTTTTGAGCTGGAGTCTCAGTTCGTTGCCCAGGCTGGAGGGCAGTGGCATGCTCCCGGCCACCACAGCCTCGACCTGCTGGGCTCAGGCGATCCTTCTGCCCTGGCCTTCCAAGGAGCTGGAACTACAGGCACACGCTACCACGCCTGGCTAATTTTTTTGATTTATTGTAGAGACGAGGTCTCACCAAGATGCCCGCGCTGGTCTTGAACCCGTGGGCTCAGGCAATTCACTCGCCTCGGCCTCCCAAAGTGCTGGGATTGCAGGCTGAGCCACTGAGCCCGGCCCATATTTTTAAAAAAACTACAAAATTACCTTTTCTTATTTTCAATAGGCAGAGTTTAGTGGTTTTCCAACATTAATAGGAGATGAAACTATAAAATCATAAGAATGTTTCAACCGTCTTTGACAATGTAGTTAAATAATAAACAGCAGTCATATATGACTACAGGATGACAGGGTTGACATCACATTTCAGCTGTTGCCACTCCTGCTGTGTGCCCAGAAAAAAACATTTCCGCAATGCTGTCAAGACTAACCACGGATGGAAAATGAGGCTGAGCCAGACCACTCCAGGCTCTGTCGCCATGGCAGCTGCGGAAGCACAAGGGACGCCTGCTTGAGACACAGTGGCCGGTTCAGGCCCACCCAGCACGGTGTTAATGCTGTGGGCGGCCGACAGTGTGGCCGGCGGACAGCGTGGGCAGTGGGCTGGCTGGATGGAGGGACAGCATGGACAGTGGGGTGGCGTGGGTGGCAGGGCAATGTGGAAGGCCAGGCAGTGCGGATGGGGGTGGCATGGACAGCCAGCAGCACGGATCGTGGGACAGTGTGGATGGCCAGCAGCATGGACGTGGAGCCCTGAGCATCTGCCCTGGCAGGAGCTTAGCAAGGCCACACACAGACACCTGTGAGTTTTTTTTTCTTTTTTTGAGTTGGAGTCTTACCCTGTCACCCAGGCTGGAGTGCAGTGGCATGCTCATGGCCACCGCAGCCTTGACCTGCTTGGGTCAGGTGATCCTTCTGACTCAGTCTTCCAAGTAGCTGGAACTACAGGCATGCGCCGCCATGACTGGCTATTTTTTGATTTATTGTAGAGACAAGGTCTCGCCAAGTTGCCCAGGCGGGTCACGAGCCTGCGGGCTCAGGCAATCCCACTCGCCTCGGCCTCCCAAAGTGCTGGGATGACAGGCTGAACCATCGAGCCCAGCCGAGTCTTTTCAAATGGAAGCAACAGAAGCTTCCAAAGGCACTGCCTCTTGGCCTGGCTCCCGCACTCAGGAAGAACTGCACACGCAGCTCTCACACGTGGGCTCGCCAGCACGACAGCACGCTGGGACACGACAGCCGTGCGTTGCTCTTGCGATTCAGCGGGGCTCCAGGCCAACTCTGACATCCTGACTCCAGCGCCGTGAAGGAGGCAGCGGCGGGTGTCAGGACGGGCTGGGAGGAGCCTCACTTGAGCTCGGGTCTGGTGTCCTGAGCTGAGCGGGGGGCCCCCTTCACCGCCCCAGCTGACTCCTGTCTACTCGACCTACTTCAAGTGGGAGACAGCAGGGAAGGAAACTTGCTATCTATTTTCATTATTTTGAGCTTGCAACAAAAATAAAATACTTAAAGGTAACATTACATTCGAAACCCACTGAATGTTTTTCAACCTACTTTAATCTAAAAAAAACAAGTATCTCTTGCCAGGTGCGGTGGCTCGCGCCTGTAATCCCAGCACTTTGGGAGGCCTAGGCAAGAGGACTGTCTGAGCCTAGGGGTTCAAGACCAGTCTGAGCATCATGGCGATACCTCGTCTCTACAATAAAATTAAAAAATTAGCTGGGTGTGGTAGCGTGCGCCTATAGTTCCAGCTACTTGGAAGGTTGAGGCGGAAGGATCGCTGGAGCCCAGCTGGTTGAGGCTGCGGTGGCCGGGAGCGTGTCACTGCACTCCAGCCTGGGCAACAGAGTGCGACTTGGACTCAAAACAAAACAGAAACAAAAAACAAGTATCTTTTGACAAGCCAGATTCTATCCCAGTCTGCTGTTAACAGGTGTAAGTGCTTGTGAGTCCTTAAGTGTGACTTGAGGCTAGATGTTATCTGTTTTTAAGGGAAAGCTAGGCCCCTGCATCATACCAGCACCGTCTGATGCCTCAGGAATTTCTGGAAGTACTGTCATACGATGAGTCACATAAACATCACTACAGGTGGGGGGCTGGGCGGAAAAGGGAGAAGTCCCTCTGGGTCTTGAAGAGGGCGGTAGAAAGGGGCGCAGGCGGGTCCCAGGAGGGAGGGAGAACGAGCCCACCACACGGGCTTGGGGGCTGGGGATGGGCAGAGGGGAGTGGCTGCCTCCCGGGCGAGATCATCCCTGCTCTGGCTGGCCATCGCTGCCAGCCGGAACACAAGCCCGACGTCAGGGCGACTGAGTTCAGGACCCGAAGCTCTCTGGTGCAGCAGGGAATGCAACACGTTCGTCCTAACCTTACTTTACTGTGTTCCTAATTTTTTTTTTTTTGAGTTGGAGTCTCACTCTGTCGCCCAGACT